GAAGGTTGCAGAAAAATCTAAAATTTAATAATAAAATTCAGTTCATCGATATCGAAATAAATGGGCCCTTACAACACACGGATTACACGGTCATCATTGATTCATATTCAATAATTTAAATAATTATTTTTTGGCATCGTCGCTGTGAATATACTCAAAAACCCCATTTGATTATACTCTGTTTTTAAACTAAGAGGAGCGAATTGAAAAGTCCTATTTACACAGGGAAAAATAACTAAAAAAGTAACTAGATATCATTTTAGCGGTAAATTTGAATTAGTCTTGTATCATTTCAAGAAAAACATATCAAAACTTTTTTATGAATTCATTGAAGTCAAAGTTTTAGATAACCAACGAATAAAGATGACACTAAATTGTGTTCATTCCGTTTTTGATTTATAATTATTGTATTTTAGTTGTACTTTTATTTTTTCCTTACTTCGTCTCATATCGCAGCTCGGACCAGTATGTTGGGAAGAGAATCGCCCAAAGAGCGACCAAATTTCAGTAAATTGAGTAAAATGTCTCCCAACAAAATACAAAATAATTTACATTTTGAGTTTAACATAGAGTTTTAATTCGATATTTTATTCATTGTTTTTTATTTTATTCGTTGTTTTATAATAACAGAAAATAAAATAAATAGTAGGTTTTTCAATTTGATGGAAAAATTAGAAAAATAGGTATGTCAGTTCTATTTGTTGAAATGAAATTAAGCACCTATTACAAAACATATTTAGGAGGGACTGAAAAATATGTAGTTGAAGAAAAGCTTATTTAAAATGAAGAATTTTGGCAGGTACAAAAAAATAGTTTATTTTTATATTTCTTTATCTATAGTTTAATTTGTAATATTTTTTCTTAAAATTAAACTACAAGATTACCATTAGTTGTATGGATTTCCTAATTAAATAAGGGTTCTTTCTTCAGGTAAAATGTAGCAAAGTTTTGAAGTACGATAGGATATGTTTGCAGACAAGTGTTTTGAAATGAAATAAACCAAATCTATACGAATTTTGTCTCCACTAACAAGATGTTATATTCAACAGTCGAAAGTGTAAACTTGTGGGCAACAGCTTATTAAATGTATGTAGAAGTCCAAGAAAGTGAAATGGTACCAGCTTTTACTATATTAATAATGGTTTTTATCATTCTCCTGTTTTTTTGTAGATAGGATTTATAATTGTTGCTTAAATTCCACATTGTGTATCAGAATGTCTTTGGTCTTCTTGAAAACAGATTTTTAAACAATATAAAGCAGATGGTATATTTTTTTGAGACATCCTTCAAGCCTTTCGAAAACTAAACGTTTATTTGCAGGTAAGATAATATATATATCTTAATTTTGTATGATCATTTATTGTATAGACAAATAATTAAATAAAAATTATTAAGTCACAAAAAAGGTAATTTGTAACTTTGTGTCAGCTGAAGGATTTCCTACACCCAATTAAATATATTTTTTACAAACAAATAAAATGTCTTTAATATGATCCGTAGATATTTTTAATAATTCAGCACTACATATGTTTCGGAATCTTCTGGTGGAGTCACAGCTATTTAAAAATTAAAAAAACATTTAGGAACATAAACACTTTAAAATGATCATGGATGAAACCCATATTTTGTGATAGTGTGTAGGTAGCTTACAACTAGTTGATTAAATTAAAATACACGTTTGACAAATCTTTTACACATTCGCAGAGTTTAATATGTGTAAGTGTAGTTATAATCTTTACAGTCTATTTTATAAACTACATTTAGTTGAGTTGCTTTCTTGAGTTTGGGTTTAAAATTTAAAAATAAGGTTTCGTTTACAAGAAATTTTTACATTATATCTAGAGAACATTTTTGACACTTGTATGGAAAGTCCTTTTACATATAGCAATTTAATGTTTAAAAAAGGGTGCCACACCAAATGTTACAGTGATAACACTTTATGCTTTTGACTATTTAAGTACCAAGTTATTTATTTAAAATAATAAAACAAGGTATTTGTTTTAGGTTAAATAATGAAAGTTTTGGAGGCCACAAATTATGGACATATTCAGATGGCAATAGGACTTTTAAATATATTCAAAATATTTTGTAGTTTTAAATGTTAATTAACAATTTTGTAAATGGTTTATTTTCAAATAAATAAAATTTACTTTAATATTTAGTTATATTTTAATCATTTTGATTAGAAATTCATTAATTTTTAGTTTAAAAAAAAATTAGTAATAAAGTTGTATTTTTTTTTAAGTAGAACACCAAAAAAGCAATATTTATCAATTTATAATATTGCGGAAAAAACGCTACCATATATTCCTGAGGCTTAAACATAACGATTTAACCCAACTTATATCAGTACAAAAGTGGATGATTTCAGAAATACAGAGTGTTAAAAGTTCAATTTAGTTTTTCATAAATAATTTTTTTAATAATTAATGTATTTTTAAAATATTTGGTTAGGAGGGGTTTGTGGGGTAACATATTTAAAGCTGCTCCCATTTTTATTGTAAAATTTAAAGGACGCCTTTTTTATAAATCCAGATTTCTCAAAAACGGCTGCTCAAATCTACTCTTACCACTTATACCTTGCAGAACAAGAATTTTATTTTAAGTTAAATACAGAATGGTGCTTAAATGTGTGTAAGGTACAACAATTTTACAATAAAAATGATAGCAATTGTAATTTTTGTATACTACACTGTAGTTTTGTAATTTTTTTTTTAATATGGGTTAGAAAAACAACATATAAATAGTAGTATCTTTATTTTGTAAATTTGTTATAATATTTTAAATAATAATAAAGTTTGAAAAATAAAACAAAAATACATAAGAGGTGCCTATACAACATAATAAGTGAAAAGACAAAGTACATCTTGACATTTACATTGAATCAGAAAAAAAAACACTAAGTACTCAATATGTTATCTACATCAGAAGATTCGTTGTTTTTAGCTGCCACCTGATTTATTTGTGCTTGCATCATTTCTATGGGATTTAACTCGCAGTGATATGAGGCAGCCACAACTTTATTGGTTTCTTTAGCCTTTACATCGACATTCAAATTATGTGCTTCTTTATGTTGCCAAATTAGGTGTAAAAGTTGATATCACTTCATATTTAAATAAATTTAATATTTTTAGTTTTGTAACCATTCCTGTCAGATTTTCTTGATGACAGGAATTTTTTCAACTTTTCGACTATGATATGATACATTTTCCATCACAATCATAGCATAATTAGAAAACTTTGTAAAAAATGTAGAAAACCATTTCTAAAATACTTCGGATTTCGTCTCGTCAAGGTAAATGCATTTTCTACAAAACCTTCAGAATTAACACGTATATTAAGGCACCTGCTTTTGGCTTTACAGGCCTGTTGATAAACCTTAAAATGATCTTCATCAAAGTAGAAGCTTGGCCTGTTTTATTTTCTATATTGTTTGATGGATTTTAAATCTACGTATATAGTGTTCTATCAATACACTTTGACAATTTCTTTTCAAATATCTAAAAAAATATATACATAATAAATAAACAGTACAATTGACTGGTCAAAGTTTCAAACTTACTTAGTTATTATATCTCAAGAAAGTATATAAAGATGAATAATATATTTGTGGCAAGGTGCTTGTAAACGTAACGGACACCCGAATTTCGAAAAAAATTTTTAACCAAAAAATGATACTAACTGTGTATATGAAATAACAAAAAAAAATTTGCGGGTTAAGCAGAAATTTGAGTTTTAACCTGCAGATTTTGGTGTTTCTAACCTAAGATTTTTTCAATTTTCGCGTAATGTATGTGCATGGCTGCTAAGAATTTAAATTTTTAACAAAACCAAAATTAATAATAGACAGAATCGATAAGGTATTTTTATGAATCGAATACTTATATATGTTTAATTTTACTGTCTACTTTAATCTCATCTCAGGCAATTATAGTTATGAAAAATATTTCGTAATTATTGCGAAGACGCCCTTTTGCTTAAAAATACAATGTTTTTTACGAAACTTACATTTTAGGTTTAGGAAGAAGCGTATTTTTCAAATATACCACCGGATACCACATAATTTAACGTTTTTTAAAAAAATTTGCATATTAAAGGCTTACGAGTATCATTAACTGATCATTTATGTACTTATTCAATAGAATTTAAAATTATATCTGTCAAGTTATATCAGTTCAAATATTCGCGGTGTTGCTAAGTGTAATTAAAATCAACGAAAAAGAAATTACCCTATTTTTTAAATAGCATTTCCATACACTTTAAAAAGCATTTCTTTAATTTATTTTCAGTCACATCTGACGATTTATTTAACCATTTTAATTGAATTGTTGTGGTACATAATAATTAAATAATAATATTACATTATCTATAAAGTAATAAACAAGTACTTTTCGAAAATTTATAAACATAATTTTATTATCACTTTATATTAGGCATTCCAAACAAAATGGCTACCCTTTTAAAATGACAGGCCACTGACAGGTTATAATAATAATATGGCAGCACTGTGAGCCTGTTGATTTGATAGGATCAATGCTATAGACAGTTATATCGAGTGGTAGCACCCATTCGCGCGAATTTCGAAACGTCGGCCGGGTGCGCCCTTTTTGCACCTTTACCATAAGAGCACGAATCGCTCGTTCTACTCACTTCCTAACTACTACAGAAGCAAGCGAGCGAAGCGAGCGCGCCCTTTTTGCACCTGTACCATAAGAGCACGAATCGCTCGCGCGAATTTCGAAACGTCGGCCGGGCGCGCTTGCTTGCTCCTTTAGTGGTTAGCAGATGGGTGGGTGCTACCAGCGAAGTGTGCTCTTACGGTGTAGGTGTAAAAAGAGCATTTGCGAATTTCGAAACATTAACCAAACACGATCGCTTCTAATATAGTTAGGACGTAGGAGGACGAGTGTGCTTTTATGGCGTTATCATCATCATCATCATCAAATGTTTTTAGAACTCCTCGTCTTCCATAAATACTTTTTAGACTAGATATTGTTCCATTATTGCGGTATTATTTCAATAATCGGTAAGTAGTTGACTTTGACCTGTAAGAAAAATATTGAGTATTTAATATTATTTTTAATTTGAAAGTGACGAGTAAAACTTACTGGTAGCTTGAGAAATTTTGGATATAACATCAACAATTTTGGTTTTCGTATTATTATCCAATACCTATTTGTACATATTTATTATTTACTGCTTTTCTGAGAGACTTGAATAGCCTAAACTCATTCGTTTTCGTTGTTTTGATGGACTCCGCGAGGAACTGTTATAATAGTATTCGATGTAGAAGGATGCATAATCGTAGAAATTCAATACAATTGATTACTAAAGTTTTGAAAAGAACTGTTATTAAAAAAATAAAATAAAAAACTAAGTAATAATGATGAGATATCAAAGCAATAACAAAACTTAAATTATAAAATGTCAGAATCGAAAATAGAACTGTCAACCCCTGTCAACAGTAGCTAAAAAGTGATGTGTGAAACTGACTTCAATCTGACCAATTAGAAGTCTACAGAATTGCCAACTTAAATTCAAATCGCTCCTCTTAGTTTAAAAACAGAGTATAGTAATCTATGCCCATTTGTGAGAAATAAAATTAATAAAAATATTAACCTCTAAATTTAACAAACATCGTTTTACGCATGTACAATAAATAGCTGGCGGCTATCTGTACAAAATTACCACTTGCAAGTGTCGGTTACGGTTACAGTCAGAATAGCTGACGGCTATCGTATAACTGGAAGTCGATAAACGTTTTGACAGGCAGTGGCTGACGGCTATCTCCGTAGCTGCCAGCTATCCAAATAGCCGGAGATTGAAAAACCGGACCTAACTCACATACTAAGAGAAAATCAAAGTATGTGGATTAACCAAAATGAACCGGAGTGGGGTAGAATGCTTGTCAATAGGCTTGAGATGCGACTCTATGGGCGAAGACAGGTTATTTTTCATCTCACTCGGGAGTATTTATAACAACCATTTTCTATTTCACTTTGTTATTGTCTGATCCACCAGCTTGTGGATTGAACAATAACAATGTGAAACAGAAAATTGTTATTATAAATACTCCCGAGTGAGATGAGAAATAAAAATGGCTGCGCCCATAGAATCGCATCTTGTTCATTGGCTTTCTACCTCACTCCAGTTCATTGGGATTAACCCTACGATAAGTCGTAGAGTGGCGGCTTTGCCGCCACCAAAAAACATTAACCCATACCTGGCTACGCCGACCGGCACAGACTCCAACGGCCTGGAAACGGCCCAAATTTAATTGAAAACGTAAACTTTTTTACCTAATTTCTTGCGATTGCGCATACCAGTGCATAAATATACAACAAGAAAACGAAGCAACGACTTATCGTAGGGCAAAGCCGCCACCCTATACGATAAGTCGTAGAGTGGCGGCTTTGCCGCCACCAAAAAACATCAGCCCATACCTGGCTAAGCCGACCGGCATAAACTCAAACGGCCTGGACACCGCTCAAATTGAATAATTGAAATGAAAAGTCTCATATAAACACATTTATATTCTGGTTTTATCATTTGGCTTGGAGCTATTGAAAAAACAGCCACTGTCATTCCTGTTATGTACGTTCTTTTACTATGTTTGACAACTCCACATTTATAGAAATAAAAATATCAGTTGTCATATTATTCATAAAAAATAATATAGAACAGTAGGTGAGTTCGGGCTGCGCACTCCAGAGTGGAGTGCAGTAATTAGGCGTAAACGGAGTGCGAATATGATTTTACTCCTTTAACTCTCGGAGTGCAATGTCAGTTGTCAATGTGACATACCAGTACTTAAAATTTAATCGTACTTATCAGTAACGACCGTATAAGTTTCTTCCATATTAATGATATTCACGGGAACCAAAAAAAAAACTTATTTACTAAAGAATCAGTCACAATTAACTTATTATCGATTTAGAACAGAGGTAAAAGTTGGAAATGCTTTTGCCAGTTCTCCCACTTTATACACATAACTTGACAGGTTGTCAGCGAATCTCACCGACGTGGACACGATACATTGGCGTACAAAATTATTTTATAGATGTTAATAACAATTTCGAGTAAATAGTTTAATAAATTGTGAATAGCTGTTGAAATTTTGTAAAATTATAATTTGAATATTATAATACATGTTTAATAATTATTTATAATCCATAAATACATGCGATTGTCCGGTTCCGCCGCTAACAATTTAAAATTACTTTTTTCTATGAAACGACACTGGCAGGTAAACATTACTGTGAAATTCTCGGAGCCGCCCGACGTGGTTTGACGTTTACCCCCTCTCTACCTACCAAAAGACTTTTCAACTTTTACTTTCTCTATAAAACACCTTATGCGCATGCCCGATCCACACTCCTCTCCACCATCTCCGAACGGTCAAAGAGGAACTTTTATTTTAACTCCTTCCGTACCCGAACGCCTTAGGTACTTTAGGAGTGAATATAGTGAAAAGAGTGCGTAGACCGAACTCACCAAGTATTACCATGAATATATTTATTTATAACAAAAAGCAATTGGCAACATCGCTAAAATCACGCACAGGCGCTCTTAGGGCCCTATTCAGTAATTTATCGTTCATGGACGACATCGTTAAGCTAACGACAGTTCAACCAACGACTTTTATAACGATAATTTTTGAAATTCTATTCAATAACAAAGTCGTTACGTTGTTTCTAGTTACCAAATCTGAACGATGATTTCTAGTAAGTTGGTATTATAATTTAGTGTTTTGTGATAAAAGAACGTATGTTGATGATTATACCGGGTGTTTAAATTAAAGTTTTACAGTTAAATATCGCCAAAAATATGCATTTTATAAAAAAAAAGTATCAGACAAAAGTTTTATAGTTTTTTAGGGGAAACATTTTGGCTAAATTAATTTTTTTATAGCTGACCATAATATGGCCATATCGAGGTGGATTTTTTTTCAAATTGGAACCCTCTATTTTTTTGCATAGGTATTCTTAGAGTTCATAAAAAAATAAGAAACTTCTAAATAAAACATTTTTTTATTGGATTTCTACTTATTGAGTAACACCCAAAAAATTATAAAACTTTGTTTTTTTTTTATAAAAGGCGGTATTTAACTGTAACCCTTTAATTTGAACACCCCCGGTATATTTGACATTTTTTTAGGAACGTAAAATAAAAATTCAACCAGTAGATATATTCATTTGTTTTTCAGAATATATTAATTATTGTTCTTAACCTACAACACGATCAGGGGGTCGATTCTCGATTCGTAGGAATTCTGTTTCTCGCGGGCCATTTTTGCTGGTCGTATTGTATGTAGGGTTTATTAAAATGAGTATGGATATATTAAAAAAACTGAGAACTATTCCAAAAGAATACAAAAAACAACTCGAGAACAGTACAAGATGTATTTTTTATTGGATTTGAAAGACAAACCAAATTTCTGTAGGTTACGGAGAAGTATAGGTACTTCCATAGGTTTTGTTACTGTTTCGCAGTGCTACTTTAGGAACAGCACTGTTAATAAGAATCCAATAGTAAATGGTTGAATGGGCAATCCTAACTTTGAATCCGATTTATTTTTAAAATAATTAAATAAATTAGAAAAAAATTCCTTACAAATTTTACTTGCTGTATTAGGTATATGGCAATTTAGTTGTAAAATTTGTAAAAAAGTATTTTTATTATTTAGAACATATCCTGATTCATAATAAAAAATGAGAGGGAATGCAAAAATCACTATAACGACACTTCATATTATTAACGACAGCTCTTTGGCTATCGTTGATGAACGACAATTTTACAACCATATTTGTCTATTTTCAACGACAATCGTTGTCTACTGAATAAGAAAAGTCGTCTGTGAACGATTATCGTCTATTAACGACGTCGTTCAGAGTTACTGAATAGGCCCCTTAGTGTGACTGTCAAATCTAAAAAATAAAAAACAATATGGCTACGTGAGAATGTAGTGAATAAATGCACATTCTTAATTTTTTAGCTTACAAGTGTGTTTTAATAATATTTGTTACTTTAATTAGGTTAGTGCACACTTATAGAAGATTAAAAAGTGTAAAAATATTATGGTTTTACTTAATCTTTATGGAAAAAGTGACAAAATTACTGGACCTAATATCGACCGTTGCCGTTATCCTTAATATGACGACTGCATATTTAATGTGGTATAAATTGCATCACTACCAATATCTGGGAGTGCTTTATTGTTTGTTGCTGAAATCTATCTTCCCATCTTTTGAAATCATGCTTAAAATAGATCACCCTCTCTGTGAATTAAGACAAAAAACCGTAGACTTGGACAAGAACACACAACACAAATGACAACCCTGTTTTTTCCTAGCTTTTTCAGGGGACAATACAAAACTAACACACGACAAACCTCCTATAACTTACAATTCCCGATCCAAAACCACCATAATCCCTCAATAATACCCCATAGGATAAGCAGGAGTGAGGGCGGCTATAATTAGCATAACCAAAACAGATAAATATGGAACATATTACAGGCGGAGAAACCGCCTTAGGCCTCAATGGATACCATTCGGGCCACAGCTGTACTGTGTACAGTCTGTGTTTTTTGTGACGTTTTATGTTTACATATTGTACATATATTTTTAAAAAAATTAATAAAGATTTTAAATGAAAATTATGAAAGATGCATAGGACCGATTCCACCGTTGTGTTAAACGAAGTTTAAAATGACATTTTTACATTACCAATGTCATTTTAATCTCCGTTTAACACAACGGTGGAATCGGCCCTTAAAATAGGAAGGTGTTGAAAAATAAATCTAGATTCTAGATGACTCAAAATTCAATACACCTTCAAATATTTTAATTTCTCTGAAGTTTGAAGTTTTGACGAGCTGACAACTGACAAGACCATGACAAGACATTTCGATACCGAGCGCCATCCCGTTAATTGGAGTGGTACTAAATTACCTTTCTCATGTTTTTCCATTTGAGGGCTCTATCAAGCTAGCGGGCACTCTGTGGCGGCACCATACAAGACCTGGTGGGTTTTTTGTAGCTTT